GCGGGCAAGAGACCGAGGTGCCCCCACGCCAGCTGACCCAGGCCACCCCATCGGAGGTGGGTGCGGGGACTGTCCTGCTGCTGTGTGTTTATGTAAGACAGTGTCATTGTGATTTACAGCCGCATCCTCAACAATTTGAGGGTAAAATGGCATAGTCTGTAATGTAAATAATTCAGCAAAATAAATAAATAAGGATACTCTTAACTTTGTTAAAAAGGTGGCGATTGTTCCATCCTGACGATGGGTCTGTGGGGCTCCTTATGCCGTTATTTCTGCTTTTCAGTTGGTGAGAAGTTTTCGTTAAAACACAGCCCTGTATGGCCAGACTTGCTTTCCTTCGTTGGGGCCCCTCTGGGCTGGGAGGTCACAGAGATATCCGCCCCCGCCCCCACACACTCCTTGTGACCTGTGTGACCCTCCCTCCCACCCTTTCTCCCAAGCTCGGGCAAGGCGCAGCCACGCACCTTAGAGGCGTGTCGGCTGAGACACACCACCGTGCTCCAACCATGGCTCTGTGCGCTGTCATTCAGCTTCCACGAGGACCGAGAGAACTAGCAGGGATGTGAGGCGGAGGAGGGGCAGGGTCCCCATCTGGGAGACTGGCACAGGGCCCTGCCCAGCCCTCCTTCCTCTGGGAAGGGTCTGGAGTGGAGATATGCAGGTTGCGCTCCACGGCCTCAGGGACACCCTTCCTTCCGAGCGGGCCCCCTCTGCGGTGGGGCAGCACCTGGGGGCCGCGGTGGGTCCAGTGGTGGCCACCCCCCACCCAGGGCAGTTCAGCCCAGGACCCATCACGTCCTGCACCACCCGAATCTGGCCACATGGAGGCAGCCCTCGGCCAGTTCTCCACCCAGAAGCCCACAAAATCCACTTATATGTTAGAAAAACAAAAGGATGTTAGATCCTGCCCTCCTCAGCTCAGAACCGCCCCAGTGGGTGTCATCTCACTGAGAGTAAAGGCCAAATTCCTTTCGTTGGCCAACAAGGCCCTCCGTGATGGCCCCTCCTCTGACCCCACCTTCCACTCCCACCTCCCTCCAGTCCCACTGGCCTCCTCCTGTCCCTTGAACCAGCCACACACACACACACACACACACACACACACACACACACACACACGCGCGCGCGCCTCAGGGCCTTTGCACAGGCTGCGCCCTGCCTGGAATGCTGTTCTCACATCTGTCCACTGAGCTCACTCGATCCCCTCCTCTGAAGTCATTTGCTCCAGCACCGCCCTGCTCGGCATGGCCCCACGGGACCCCCGGCCCGGGTTGCCTCCTTCCTCTCTAGCTTTTCACTTTTCTCCACTGCTCAGCAGCTCTCTCTCTCCCCTCTTTCCCTCCCTCACCGACTTCAAGCCCAGGAGCATGAGGGACCTTCTCAGACCCTCCACTCTCTGTTGTGAGGTTCCACCCACCTTGTATGCCATATATTAACATGCACCCTTGGGCCGAGCCCATGGCACACTCGGGAGAGTGCCGCGCTGGGAGCGCAGCAGCGCTCTCGCCACGGGTTCGGATCCTATATAGGGATGACTGGTGCGCTCACTGGCTGAGCGCA